TTATGTGCTGGTGCTCCTACTAGAATCTTAAAAGTATAGCCTATATAAAAAACTAAAAAAAACTAAAAATAGGCTATAGTTCAAATAGAACATCTAAGAACATTTTACTCTTTCAAGCCAACATACAGGTTTCAACATAAAACAATATAGCCTATGTTTTAATAGATGAAAGATAGATTCTTACCTAACTCTGCCATTAGTTTCCCGTTATTTGGATCTTCTTTTCTTGATCTTCTTTTCTTGGATCTTGATTTCATTGAATTATTATTTTTCGTCAGATGCAAGTTCTGTAGTCTATATATCCATGATGAAAATCCACGCGCCACAAGAACATGGTGACGTAACAGTTAACTTACTCGACAAAAATCAAAATAAACGAGGAATGCATTGTGAGAAAAATAATACAGAAATCCCAAACATATACTATCCGGTTTGATGTCTCAGAGTTGGCTTTGAGTTCCGATTTCTGAAAAGCAGTAGCCTAAATAAAATAATAAAACGAATATCCATTTGTTCGTGAATTGGTGCTCTTTGTTCGTGAATTAGTGTGTTTGACTCACCAAAAAGAATCAGAGTCATTTGTTAAAGGAGTAGTTCACTTTAAAAAAAACCTTTGCTGATAATTTACTCACCCCCATGTCATCCAAGATGTCCATGTCGTTCTTTCTTCAGACAAAAAGAAATGAAGGTTTTTGATGAAAACATTCCAGGATTTTTCTCCATATAATGCACTTTACTGGTAACCAAACGGTTCATGCTCCAAAAGACAGTTTCAGTGCAAACTGCAAACTGTTCAAAGGGCTTTAAATGATTTCAGACAATGAATAAGGGTCTTATCAAGTGAAACGATCGCTCATTTAAACAAAAACAAAAAAATAACAACAAAGTTTAAGTTTTGTTAGCTCAAATTCTCGCTTTGCTCTGTTCTGTGTGACTCTCCTGTTTGAACTCGTTCATCAAAATGAACGAATCTTTTTCTGAGTCAATTCACTCATTTTATTCGTTGAATGAACCAAATGACACGAAAAAAAGATTCGTTCATTTTGATAAACCAGTTTGAATAGGAGAGTCACGAACGCGCATCACAGAACAGAGCAAGGCGACCATCTGAGCTTATAAAACCTAAACTTTGTTATTTTTTTATTGAGCAATAAAAGTGAACTACTCCTTTAATGAAGCCAATGGGCTCATAGACAGTAAAAGAAATGGACAGAGCGATCTCATTGGAACTCCATTGAGACGATTGAAGCCCGTTTTTGGCGATTTTTTAGCACTTCCGTCCCTGACGCGCAGACTCAAACAGAGCTTGACTACGTAGTGGGACGTGAGTGACCCGTCTGTCTTCTAGTGCTGTGGCATGAGAAATCTGAATCATTCCCTTCCGAAACATGCTGAGGCGGAGAGTGTGAATAGGAGCTGTCCATGAGCTAGGTGAAGGAGACAATTTTGCCTGGTATTCTGATTAATTATTTTGTCATTTTGCCTCCACGTTTCCCCGATTGCGTGCGAGCTTCTTCTCATGTCCATACGGTAATCTCTCTACTGTGCGACAGAGAGTCGCGTGGGTATGACGCAATCGTTAGCCTACTTTCACTGAAACTGCTTCTACGGGGCCATAACATAAGCTACAAGGTAATGGAGCTATTTGTATTCGTGTTTCTTTAGAAATAAATAAAGGACCAATGGAGCCTTCAAACGCCTCAGATGTAAAGTTATTCGCTGTCAAAGTGACGCCAAAATGAATGGGAGTCAATGGGAATGCTAACGCAAGTGAAATTATGCTACAAGATGTCAGCTCCCGCGAGGCTTCAACTTCCGGTCAATGGATGACTTGTTGGGTTGATGATGTTAGACAGTGGCCTCCAGTCACAGATGAAGATACAAACGATCTTACAGATTATTTATGAAAATAGCTTGGCAAGCTAGCTAGGCTAACGTTTGCTAATGAAGAAACTGTAAAAAGATCTGTCCATTTGGCAAAAATAAATAAATAAATAAATGAAATCAAATAAACAAATTCATGTTTTTCATTTCTGTCCATTATTTATCTCATTTTCACATTGCAACGGGCAAGGGTAAGGTAACGTTACAGCTAGTATAAATAATATCGACCAATTAGTGTTTTTAAACCATGGAAAGAGTTCAATATAACAGCAGGAGAACAAATATGTCACATAACGTTAAAGCCATTTAATGACCATAGCATGTTAATTGAATAGAAAAAACAGCAAGAGAGGAGATTTTTCTGATCACTGTATCACATATTTATTATATTTTGTTTACTTATGTCATTAAATAATTGTTATTATACGCGAATGTCCGCATCTTGTACTCCAGGAAATCTCTGTAAACCGTACGGCAGACAGGGGCAGTCGACCCGGGGTATTCACAATGTATTCTCTTCAAAATTGAAATTTTACTGCCACCATTGAAACAATTTATAACAGAAACTGTTTACCCACTCGACATTATACATGGGGTAACGTTGTAACGTTATAGTGACAGTCGTAAATCGCGGGCTGTTTATTCCAGTGGACTCAAGTTGCAACTAAAACAATAGGAGGCAATGGCGCAACGCTATCCAGCAACAGCTCAGTAATGGCGCCTGCTTACTTCCGGTAGTTTCGCCGGATTCGTCTGTACTACTTTTAAAAAGACTTAACGTTAGTCTAATTCTTTGTTGGCAGTGGAGGCCGTTTTAGCTGCTGCTATACTCCGGTCTACATTTGGCAGGACTTTAAACATAAATTTCAAAGAAGAAAGTAAATTATGAAATTTTATTGCATACAAATGTAGGCTAGCCTAATTTATATATATATATATATATATATATATATATATATATATATATATATATATATATGCCTGGCCTGGCCAGTCTAAAACAATAGGCTATTTAAATATGTAACATGCAAGTGTCCAACAATTATATTCTATTTAAATTATATTTGCCATATAGGCCTATTTGGCCTCTTGCTAGTAGCTTATGCTATTTCTTTTTTTGGTCAGCCTTCACTGCCCCACAGATTTATTTTAAGATTCAAGCAGCATACGCATTTGAAATCTGTAGAGCTAAATAGAGAGCTACAGCCTACTGTATTAGCTGTATTAGGATGTTTTTGTGAGGTATAGCTAGATGTAAATGCAACAAATGATAGCATTTTAGAATGAAAATATAAGTTCTCATTGTTTTAGTTGCAGTGTAGGCTATGTTTGGACAGGTCTATTGTAAGTGCGTATGCCATGTGGCTATGCAGCAGCAGCATCCACGAGGACAGCGAGTGTCCCAGAGGTACTATCACTGAATGGAATTCCCTCGCGCACAAACCCCATATTAGCGCGCACATGGGGTCATTTAGCGCATCAGCTGACCGGCGGAGTGGTGCTCGAGCTGAAGAAAACTGCAGCGCATCCGCACGCGCACAGAATACCAATCAGCTCCAGTCAACACCCCCCCCCCCCTCTCTCTCTCTCTCTCTCTCTCTCTCTCTCTCTCTCTCTCTCTCTGTAGCTATTGGTGAAAGTCACTCCAGAGAATCTAGTGTCACACAATAAATAGCGTAAATATAGGCCTATTATTACATAGTAGGCTATAGTATTTTTTGTATTTCATATTATAACATTAGAATCCTTGGCTCAAGACGAAAAATAGTAGCCTATATAATGACTGGTGACAACTTACCCCATTTTATTTACAATTGCATTGGTCAATTAAATGGATCTTTTTATTGGGAAATACCATCTGCAAAAAGTAGCCTAGGTATTTCTTTCACAATTCTTTTACAGAATACATCAAAGCATTCAACTCAGTCATGAGGTCAACTCACAGCCTTGAAGTTGATATCTGATCCCTTTACTAGTTGATATGACCTTCTGTGGACTGGGCCTCAATGTCTGTGAACATTCACATCATCCATCCACTGCCCGGCTGTCTGTTCCAATATCCTCTTTGTGTGCTGAGTCCTTTGATCACCCTCTAGCCATAATCATATAATACATTCAAAGAGTGCCATCTGCTGGATAATGTTCTGAATAATTATCCGTTGCAATTCATAGAATTCAGAAAATCTCAACTCATTAATTGATCAAAATCATGCGGATTCAATTAAATCAAATGTGCAAATAGTTTTTGCTAATACATTCAAATGGACTGTTTCGCTGAGTTAGTGTGTAGTTCTCAGATTTATAGAAATAGCTTGACTGGATTTCATTTCACCTGCTGGCTTGATTTTAGCCAAGTATCGGTTTTTATCCCACTAGCAAAACAAAACCTTGATCTTTTTTCACGGTCAGGAATATCTGATGACGCGGATTACAAGTGAAACCGTTCCAAGAGTCCATGTTTCAGGCTAAGCTTCTTAGGGAGACACAGAGGGCCGGTGCCAGAAATGATCTTTTCTGATAGATTAGTGCCTGTGGCAAAACTAGACTTGATGGTCTTAAAAACAGATGCACACATGTGGCTGTTGCAGGATGGGTGTCTTTTCCTTGAACCCAGAATATAGTAAGGCCTTACAAGGTTGAGAATAGGGCACACAAGATTAATAAACTGCCTTAATATAGGAAATAGGTATTAGTTATATTATATAAATTATATTATATTATTTATATATATATATATATATATATATATATTATATTATTATTTATTATTTTTTTATTTATATGAATTATATATTATAATATTTAATAGGAAAACACCAGATTATGCATTCATTGTGGAGAAGTGGGAAATGTAAAACATATACTCTTGATGAGTAGAAAGTACTCTGAAAAAAAAAATAGAAAAGGCAACAGAAAATGGACTGAGTAAAAAAAAAATCTATTGAGTTTGCCTGGCACGTAATCTATAATTATGTTATGCTCTTTATGAAAGAAACTCAGAATTTAGGTTTTAGTATTTTTATTTATTTATATTTTGTTCAATCCAGAAGATGGCGGTAATGCACTTTGTTTGGAAACTGCCAATAAATAACACAAATGAAGAAGAAGACCCTTATTTGGAAGTGTGTTGCTCCGGTGAACATCTCTGAGCGTTTCTTCCTGTGGTTTTGTCTTCCCGTGGATTACTCTGGACTGTTTATTCTCTTCGTGATTATTTGCTGCCTGTCCTGGACTGTTTTCTATTGTGGACTGATTTATGTAAGTTTGCTGCCTGACTTTATGCCTGTTTTTGGATTACGATTTGCTTTCTCTTCTGTTGTGTTTGCTTTAAAGCGTTTATTCTCCATCATTTAAATTTTGGTGGATTGAGTCTGTGGAAATGTCGTTTAAATGGGTTTAGCTTTAATTTTGATGTCAATGTATGTGTTTAGTCATCTGTGACCTGTAGATGAATTGCAGTTATTGTTAGAGAGGATGGTATTAATGTTTCTTTTCGCATGCATCCTTTAATAGCAGAAAGACAGTGAATCTGAAGGTGTGTATGTGTGTTTATTGTGTGTCTTCATTGTCTGTCCTTTGTCAATAAACTGGTTCATTTGTGTTGCTGGGTGAAATTTGCTATATATTTACAGGACAGACATTTTTTGACAACACTGGTGTGTAATTTGATTTTGTAAAATGAAGTTTTAAAAAAAAACAAAACGTAGACTATTAACCGAGTAACCAAATTATTATTGTTTAATTGTATAATTACCTTCTACACACACACACACACACACACACACAAATATGTCTGGGCCGCATTCCAAACAAACCCTGACAAGTGTTATGCGTCTGGTTGTTGAAACCACAAATGTAAATTTTACTCCTCCCAAAAATGCTAAAAAATAAACGTGTGGGAGTGTGTTATCGTCTTAATCGTATGGGGCTATATCATGTCACGTTATATAGTCAGATATATGACGGCTCAACTGCAACACAGATGAGCAGCTGAGCATGCTGTTCATCAAGCCAACGTGCAAGCTATTGCAAATCGAAGTGAAAGTCGCAGACGCTTTACAATCAACTTCATTAAAAGAAAAAATGATCTTACCAGTTCTATTAACGCTCTCTCTTATTGCCGTCTTTGATTTTGAAGATAGCGGATGATCAATAAAATGCAGCAATATCTGTTGCTTCTGTGACGTGCACTCCATTCCGGGAATTGAAGATCGGATTTATATCCGCTTTGCAAAAACACATGTGACCAGGCAGACTGATCTCATGAAGTAGCGCGTGTATGACACGCCAATTAGCCTTTCGCCGAGCCCCGCCCCCCTTAGTTACTGCTGCTACCTCCGTCAAACAAATAGACCTTTCTCACAACTTCCGTATTTGTTACCGGAAATACGCAATTGTAGTGGTAATCTTCTTCCGCTCCATTCATAACAGATAGCGCCGAAGGCAACTAGTGAGAGTTGTTGCGTACCGATCTTTTTTGTTATTCCCAAAAGCAGCCATACCTGTCGTTTTCATTCCTTCCCTCGTCAGTTCCCTGTCGATGAAGTTCGACGGAAATGGATTCAGGCAATCTGGCGGGATGTTATTGATCCTGTGATCTTCTGTACTTCTCATGTCACCATTCACTAATAAGCCGTCATTGTTTGTTTATTTTTTATGTTTTATGATTTGCGTATTTTTGAAGTAACGTTAGTTCATGTTCAACTTTATTAAGATATTTGTATCCAGCGGAATAAGCACATAAAATATACACCACAATATAAAACAAGATAAATAACACACAACAGTGGGCTACATATAAATTTAAAATATTAATATATACCATTCTGAGTATTTAACAATCTGAGTGTACAAGGAATAAATTAATATTTGTATAATTTTTCTTCTTTGATCGTTCTATAGCAACAGCAGTGCAAAAAATTCAGGATAACTGTTGAATAAAACTGACAGACTTCTTTCTGGTATTCACATCAAAATGTAGTTTATTGCAAATAGGCCTAATACTCCCTAAATATGAATAACTTTCCACACACTCCACCTTCTTACCTTTAATTAACGTATATTGGGAAGAATGAGCTTCAGTTCTAATATCATATCTTTGGTCTTAGATAAATCAGCTGCAGACAAGCATCACCACAGCATTTTACAAAGTCATCAACAACTGGACCATGACAAGTTTAAATTTTTTCGAAGTTTTGAAGACTCTCTGATCAATTTTCTCCTCCCAGAGTAGGTTTTTCTGATGTGTTAACAGTTGACGGGAACTCCGTTTCCACAACGATTACGTATTTCCGGTTTTTGTGAAAAAGGTCTATGGTCAAACACGGGCAGCGCGACAGATTGCCATGACGGCAAAGGGTATTCCCGTGCGTGTCAGTGACCTTTTTTGGAGCAATACCTCCGCGATATCAAGCAAGATCGAAGCAAAAGGGGTTACGGTATGCGGTGGAGGGATTTATTCCAAATATAAAATTAAGAAATGAATGAGACACGACTACTATTGATGCTAATGCTTACCAGTGTCAAGAAAAATCAGAAAAACCCCATGACCATGCTAAGTTACCTCAAATGCAACCAGCACAGCCTTGAAGATTTTATAAACTGGTTCAGTGGCTAATTGTTTGGAGTTCGAAATATATAACTTGCGCTGCATATTTATTCATTTTGCCTCCGATACAGGAGTACTGCTAGCACGTTCGCTTTAACAAGCAGGTTGTTCATTACCACAGCAACCGATTGCGTGTCATGCTCATGCTGAAAAAAAAGTAAAACTAGTTTAAAAAGTAACTAACGTTATGCATAAGAGACGGAAAGAGGCAGAGAACCATACGTTATTTAAGGTTATTTCTATTCGTTACGATATATTGATATATGAACTGATGTTGTCATGTAAGCTTCATGCTTTCCCCGTTGCGAACGTCCTCTAAACTGTAGTCTACGGTGCTGCACTGCTAACTTAGCTGACTGCTGCTCATTTTCCCAGAGAATATCATGGTATGTTAACAACAACCCTTTAGAAAATGTACAGTAAGTCCTTTGTGGATCCTCTTGATCTGCTTTCTCCGTGCTTCTTTGACTAATCTCAGTCGCACGCACGCTGCACGCGAGACGAGTTAACCATGTTCGACACATTTAACTGGAATTGGGGCGTCCACACTTTTTAATACATCTTAGGCACCGCTCGCGTTGTGTTTTGGGCTTTGGAAAGGGAAAAAACACAACTTCTCCAGACAATCTCTCGGGGTATCATCTGTCTGATTTACTAACGCCGTGGGCGCACCGCTTACTGTTTGACGGAACAGCTCACACAGTAACGGTTGCTATGATGTGTGATTGGACAATGGCCATTTTGTGGGAGGAGCCGGCGAAAGGTCAATTCGTATTTCAATTTTTGGCATGCTATCAAGACGCATAATCGCCTTTCAGCGTGTTTAATAACGCCGTTGACTTAACGTTATATAAATATATGACTTACCTGTTACCTCAACCCCGTCCCTAAACCATAACCGTCACTGGGGTTAATGGCATTTATGACTGTTCCCTTACCATCCTAGGTAAAAAAAAGATATGACTTACCTCAACCCCATCCCTAAACTTAACCGTCACTGGGGTTAATGGCATTTATGACTGGAGATTTGACTGCGCGTTCAGACACGCGGAATGACGCGGACGTTAATGGCGTAGACATACGCATACACGCGGATAGCACAAAATGTGTGGAGATAACACGCCACCTGACTCGAAAGTAGCGTATATGTTTACGCAAAAGTCATGATGTCATGTTGGACCAGGTGTAAATGGAATCGTTTTGATAATTCAGATTGGTATCCGATCTGAGAATGATGTGGCCAGGTGTAAACTGCCTGTTCGATCATAATCTTCTACAGCAGTTGTCGTCATTCACATTTTGACTATTACCTTGAGGATAATAAAACTAGCCTTTGGTACATCAAAAATATGAAATTTGCTATAAATAGATTTTACTTGTTTTCTGTTATTAAATCAGGGTTCACTTGAAAATTCACATTTATCCTCCTGAACTCATTCTAATAACATGTTTTAATGTTTCAGACCCGATGGAAGTGAAAGAGCAAAGACAAGAACTGAGATAAAAGATGATGATCCTGAGGTTTGTTTCAGCCTGTTGACCCCAATAAAACGATTTAATGTGCCAATTTACAGAAGATCTCAGGCATCACCGTAATGAATGAGCTGAAAACAGGGAACTTTCGGAGAGAAGAGGTTTTTCAGCTGCTCAGTTTAACATGATGACCCTGTACTTTTTAAATGCAGATTGGATAAAAACACACCTGCAGATTGATCACAGTTCACACCTGCAGTGAAGCCCCTCCCAAAACAATTTGCCAATAAAAACTGGGAATATTCCCATCATCCTACAAGAGAAGGACAAACTCCAGGAGCAGCTGAAATCTGTGTGACTGTTAAAGATGGAGTTTATTAAAGTGGAGATTGAAGACATGAGTGATCCAGAACCATCCAGAATAAAAGATGAAGATAATGAGGAACAAATAGGTTGGTTGGTGTTCATTCTTGATTCTTCATTATGCTTTGATAGATGTGAATTAAGCAGTATATGGATGATAAATGACAGAAAAATACTATCTAAATGATTATAACCTTCATAGCAGTTGTCAAACATATTTTAACTATATTAACAATAAATGACAGAATAACAAGTGAAAGATCTGATCTATGTTGCTTTCTGCTATTAAATAAGGGTTCACTTGAACTGCATCTAACTGTATTTTTGTGTATTTTAGACCAGGTGAGAGTGAAAGAGCAAAGACAAGAACTGAATGAAGTGAACTTTACAATTCAAAGAACAAAAGCTAAAAAGACACGCACCTGCATTCAGTGTGGAAAGACTTTCACACATAAAGGAAACTTTAACTCACACATGAGAATTCACACTGGAGAGAAACCACATACATGCACTCAGTGTGGAAAGAGTTTTACTCATTCATCAGGTCTCAGAGCTCATCTGCTCATTCACTCTGGAGAAAAAACATTTAAATGTGATCAGTGTGGTAAATTTTTTATTTCATCAGCACATCTAAAAGATCACATGAAAGTTCACTCAAATGAGAAGCCTTACGTGTGTTCTCTCTGTGGAAAGAGATTTTCATGGTTGAACAGTTTTAAACAGCACCAGAGAACACACAATGAAGTGAAAGATTATATGTGCTTTGACTGTGGGAAGAGTTTCACCCAATTAAGTCATCTAAAACGGCACCAAATAATTCATACTGGAGAAAAACCTTACAAGTGCTCATATTGTGACAAGAGTTTTACTCAGTCTGGAAACCTGAAATTACACAAGCGAATTCATACAGGAGAGAAGCCGTACAACTGTACTCAGTGTGGGAAGACTTTCACCCAATCAAGTAATCTAGTGACTCATATTAGAAAGCATTGTTCTGTGCCACAGTGAGCAAATGTTTTGTTAGATTCACATAAAGTAAATGTGTAGTTAGTTAACCAATAAACTAGTGTTGCTGTGAAATGCCACAAGATTTGTGATTTATATGTTGGAGAACAAGAAAATTATTGAAGATTATTTTGATAATCTTTGATAATCCACTACCCAGTGGACCAGCACGACAACCGTCTGGATTGAGCCGAGTATGGGGCATCTCTAGTGGACACCTTCCATCCTCAGTGTTTCATCGACTTGCCCACGACACCTCAAGAGGTCTCGACACCCCCCTGTCCCCCACTCAACTCAGCACAGCTTACTGACCTCTATATCCCTCCTGCTTCTGAGGTTGCTCCTTCCTCGTAGTTCACATGTGACCTAACCACAATCTCCCCACGACCCAACCATACGCGCCAACCCGTTTGACCAAGGCTGTTGAGCCCCACTGTTGTGTGAAAGCAGTTTTAGTGGCAACGGGTATGGCATACTACACCACCTACCGCAAAACACAATATCTGCCCAAACACCACCCATCATTCACGCAATATACACAAGAACGTAATTACTGTGCAATCTATCCACAAGTTTCCGGGGGGCGCTCCTGTAAAAAATAAAGTGGGTGAAACTTCCTGTGAGGCGGCGGAAGTAGCATTCCAATGGTATTTTGAGTGTTAGTTAGCGAAGAGGCTAGCTGTTTTTCAGAGAATTATTTTACTATTTAAAGACGCAAATCTTTATGAGAGATGTCGTTACGGAGCTCAGGGACAACATGTGCTATTCGCGGTTGTATGTATAACCGGACTAAACTAATTCAGTGGCTTAAACGTGATTGTTTTAAACATAAAACGAAATCAGAGTGATCCTGCCAACGACTGTAGTTTCCATCACCTCCCAAAAGACGACGAATCTTCCTGTGTACATTTGTTTAAATTCTTAATATTCTATCAGCATGTGATTGGCTGTTCGCTACTGATGTTACACCTAAACTCAGCCGGAGTGCCTGCAGTTACTCACAGTGGCCCTCATTCATCAAAAGTGCGTACACCAAATTTCCAGTGTACACCCAAAACCACGGTGACTTTGAGATCTATCAATATGGACGTTGGTGTATGGCACCCTCAAATCCTACACCAGCTCAGGAGGTGGTGTACGCACATTTTGAGTTGGTGTGGAAATACGCAGAAAAATTCCTAACACCACAAAATGCACTGACAAACTAAAAGATATATTATGACCCACTGTAAAAAAACAACAACAACAACAACAAAAAAAACATAGTAATTATAAACTTCAGTGTTTATTTTTGTCCAACATGGATTTCAATGTTTAATTTGTGTGACTACCAAAGCATTTGATTCGTAAGCATATGTATTCCATCAGTTGCGAGCCATAGAGTCAGGCAGATTTTTATTTTTATGGCCAGTTATTTAATGGACCCAGGATAATATGCATCCTGATAAAGTTCACTTGGACTTAAAATATCCCCACATCATCACACACCCTTCACGGTACCTAGAGATGGTTTTATTTCAGTTAGCCTAATCCCAGAAAGATCCATTCCATATCCATATTCCATTCCGATGATCTTATGTGACCTGTGTATTAGTTGAATTCCAGTTATTGTTAGTGAGCTGAAAGACAGTGAATCTGAAGGTGTGTGTGTGTGTGTTTATTGTCTGTCCTCTGTCAATAAACTGGTTCATTTGTGTTGCTGGGTGAAATCTGCTATATATTTACAAGACAAACATACACTAGTGTGAAATTTGATTTTGTATAATGAAAGTTCAAGAAATAAACATGTAGCCTTTTATCTCATTAATCAGATTATCTTATGTTTAATTCTATAGTAACCTTCTACTCAAAAAATGAATAAATCATGGCTGATTTTATGAATGATTTAAATGAGTTCAAAAGCATGATGATCACTGATTGTTTGTCTTCGTTTATATATATAGTTAGATACCAATCATAAGAGCTGTGAAAAATAATCAAATATTATAGGAATAAATTACATAAATGCACTTATATCATAATCTTACAGCAGTTGTTATTCACATTTTTACTATTAACAAGAGCATCTGATATTTGATAAATATAATATGTCACTTGTTATTAAAAATCTGGGTTCACTTGAAAATCCACATTTATCTTCCTTGAACTCATTCGAAAAATGTAATATGTTTTAATGTTTCAGACTGGTGGAACTGGAATAGCAAAGCCAAGAATTGAAGTTAAAGGTTATGATACAGTATTTTGTTTCAGCCTGTTGACACCAATAAAACAATTTAATGTGCTAATTTACAGAAGATCTCAGACATCACCGTAATAAATGAGCCGAAAACAGGGTACTTTTGGAGATAAAGAGGTTTTTCAGCAGCTCAGTTAAACATGATGGCCCTGTACTTTTAAAATGCAGATTGGATTAAAACACAGTTCACACCTGCAGTGAAGCCCCTCCTACAACAATTCACCAATAAATACTGGGAATATTCCCATCATCCTACAAGAGAAGGATGGACACAGAGAATAATAAACGAGGCTGGGTAGTTTTAAACAGCACCAGAAAACACACAATGAAGTGAGAGATTATATGTGCTTTGAGTTGGGAAGAGCTTTACTAGATCTCGTGATCTGAAACGGCATCAACAAATTCATACTGGAGAAAAACCTTACAAGTGCTCCTATGGGCTCTATGCACGGCGTTATTTCCGGTGAAGGATTAAGGATGCTCGATAACTTCCGCCGATCATAGAGTCCAATGCAATACCAAGAATTCATATTGAATTTTATACTCCATGGTTATACTAATGAAACGTTAGTCACAAAAACAGATAAAACAGACACCCCTCGTTGTGTTTATGCTTCTTTTTAAAATTATATTAAATAAACATAACTATATATAAAATTACATCTAAACGTATGTACGTTTCGTTTCAAAGACGGGAGGACAGTAAATATTGAAGACTCTGCCATAATCCCGTTTTCTCCGGTTTTCCTCCGCTTTAATCTACACAACCGGAAATGGACGAGCATCCTTACGTCAAATGCGGAACTTATGCGTGCATATAGCCCATTGTGACAAGAGTTTCACTCGGTCTGGACACCTGAAATCACACGAGCGAGTTCACACTGGAGAGAAGCCGTACGACTGTACTCAGTGTGGAAACAGTTTCATCCACTCATAGGGAAACATTTTAGAAAGCATTGTTCTGTGTCACAGTGAGAAAATGTTTTGTTAGATTCACATAAAGTAAATGTGTAGTTAGTTAACTAATAAACTATTGTTGCTGTGAATGCCACAAGATTTGAGTTTTATTTGATTTGTGTTTTAAACCTCTATTAAAGTCGATTACTCGCCAAGGTACTTACCCCTGAAAGGAAATCTATCTAACATTCAGGAGAAGATGGGTCATTGCTTTGACCAAGGTAAATGAATCTACAACACGTGAAATGTTTAAGTTATCGTTTTACTATTGTTGTTTTATCAACTAGGTTTAGCAAAGACAGCTATCACGTGGCCCATCAAGTCAAGTATATTTATATATTTATAACTACACATTCACAGTATCAATCAAAACATAATAACAATGTTCGTTTCTTAGTGGAAAAACATCCACGAGCCCATCTATGAAAACAAATTATTTTATTATTTTCTATAGGCTAATGTAAAGTCCGGCTCGATGCGGCATCCAATCAGCGGAAGAAGGTTCCTCTGCATATTTCTTGCCTTTTCCTTTCACGCAACACAAAAAGATAAAATGCAATATATATTCTCACGTGTATTGACTCGTTATTTCATCTGAGTCCATAAAATAAAAAAGTTTTAATGATTTGTGTTGCATCATTAAAAGTTAGCGATTGTTTGATTATTCTTTTCAACACTGGTTTTATTTGTAGTTTATCCGCTATCAGGAAACTACATTGCTCAGCAGTCCTTCTCTCAAGGCCGCACAACACACTCCTTCAGTTCCAATAACCAATTAAGAGGTAATTTGACTAAACATCTGAGATCTACCGTATTCAAACGTACAATCCAAGATATACAGCCTGTTCTCATCCCAAGGCATCATATAGTGACGCTTTTGACAATGCTTATACATCCAATGCACATGGCACTCTTTAGCGTCAATATGATGTAGATATTCACCTTATTATTAACGGAAATGCGGACGCAGCCAGTTGACGGATTTTTGTGCGAGACTTCCGTTCAGGCACTTCCGGTAACTGTCTAGTAACTCACTTTTCACTGTAGCGGCGGTAAATCAAACAAGTCTCAACAAACTAACGTTAACTAACTCGTCGTTATGGCTTCGAGGAAAACCGGGATGGTTTGTGCAGTTAGAGGTTGCCATATAACTGGCACAAAAGAAAGATTTACTTGGAGCAGGAGTGTTTTGATCATCGATCGCGTACGAGAGCTGAATGTGGATGCGAGGCGCTCTACGACCTTCTCCCCCCGCCGAAGAATGAGGAATCCCTTCGAATGTGGTTAAAAGCTTTAAATTTGAAAAAAAACACCGAAGCGACCGTATGTTTGTTCTTTTCATTTCGTGGACAAAAGACCCACAGAAGACCACCCGATTCCAGAAAAGTGGCTGGGCTTCGAGGTCCCAATAAAAACACCAAGGAGACGTGTCCAGAGGTTAGCAGACACAGGTAATGTAAACTCTTGTTAGTTCTCAGTTTGTGTCCCTCTTGACAGTTAATATCTTTCACATAAAGCCAACCGTCTTTTAAGTTTGTTCTCTCTTTATATTTATCCATTTTGCATCAATTATAAGAAGTTACATAGAGGACAAAAATGTCCATGTCAAAAAACTGTCATAAACTTTTAAGCTTGGGAACACAGACTTAAGTTTGGTATCATTTTAAAGACCCGTGGCAGATAATTGCTGAAGTAATAAATAATAAGTACATAGGTTCAAGTACACACAAGCCGCGCGAGTTACTCGTCTATTGCAGTTTGGCTGGTGGTTATGTTGCCCGCCCGCATACTGCCTCCCAGATAGCAAACTGACATTGAATCAACGTAGAAACATGACATCGAAACAACGTTGATCTGACATTGTTTTGCTCATCGAATTAAAGTTAAACCAACGTCAGACGCGTCATTCTTTCAAAACTAACGGAAAATCAACTTGAAATCAACGCGTTGTTTCAACGTTATGAAAGCAAACCAATTTTCGATTTTCATTTAGCTTTGAAGAATGCCGCGTCTGACGTTGGTTCAACGTTAATTCGATGAGCAAAATCAACGTTGTTTCAATGTCATGAGAGACGTCGTTTCCACGTTGATTCAATGTCAGTTTGCTGTCTGGGCTCCCATGGCCGAAACTGGTATTACGACACCTGCCGGGCCGGGGCTAGTAATTAATTCAGGTTAATATCTCGGCAGCACTTTAACTTGTCATTTTTTTAATGACATCATCAACCTTATTTCTTCTCATTCTTTTGATGCGTGTAGCTCATTTTTGGGATATTTTAACCTCAATTTTTACAGAGGGCACCTTTAAACATTTAAAATATTTACAAATTAATGTAGAAATAATTTTAAAATTTTCTAAAGCCAAATTAGAACCTGGAAATTATATATTTCCCACATCTTAATGAGAAGAGCCATAACCACAACCTACAGAAAAGTGATTTATGGGTGAGTTATAGAGTTTAATAATGTGTCTGAAACAATAGCGAGGCATTTTAATTGATTATTAATAAACTATTGTTTTCATAAATCAGTGTCGGCTAAAAACATACCTCCATCTCCGGATGCACCTTTAGAGAGAAATGCACATTTCAGATTGCATAATCAGAAGGTAGTTTTAGCTTTCGATTCGAATTTGTTTGTTTTATAATGCATTTCAAGCTTTAACCTACATATTGGTTTCAGTTCCTGCGCTTCAGTTCACGGAGATCATGAAAGTGTGCCTGATTGTTTCATTTTATTTTACAAAAGCACAACGTTTTTTTTTTAGATTACGCAAATAAAAGTAGTTACGAAACAAAGTATTATTATTTTTTTGTATGACCAGAAATGTACTGTTGATAGTAAAATGTAAGTGCTCACGCCCGCGCCTCCCTGCCGTCCAGTGCGCGCTCCACACATACACTTGGATGCATCAAAATCTTGGTGTTTATTTTTCATAATCTTAGCCCTAGTATTATTATTGTCCAACCTGTATTATGAATGAAATATGACGAATTGCTTTGTTCCTTTTTATGGATAAAAGCGTCTTCTACATATGTAGCCTAATAAATGTTATAATAATAATGATAATTATACTATTATTATATGCGGACACAGACCCAAAACACACTGCGTCTTCTAAGTCGGGTGACTGTAAATACACAAAACCCGTTTCCATTGCAGTTTTGCAAAATATTCCTTTTTCAAATTGCCTGAAAAACTTTCTCATACGTGCGTAAAAACTTTTTTGCCATAAACGGGAGTTTTTGCAAAATTGACGTATTTCCATTGAGCTTATTTTCATTTCGCAATTTCAATTTGCACAATTTGAAGGTTAATGGAAACACGGCTACTGAGTCCAGTTGTCAGACTCGCGGTGTAAAATACTTTGAAAACAATTCGGCCCTACTCTGACTCGGATTGTTTTTTTTTTAAACTGCGAAGTTTATTCTCATCACGTAGGTGACCAATTTTGGTTTAAAAAAAAAACACTGAATTTTGCCGAGAGGTGAGGAGTTTTCATGCCTGTTTATTAAGTGATTTTTACAACAACAGAAACCTCGAAAAATGGCACAAATGTTTAGTAAAAATATTAATAAACAGTAAAATTGGATTGGTTATAAAAAACAACAATAATCATTGAAAAAAAATAATATTTATCTGTTACAAAAATAAATGTTATTTTATGGTGTCCACGGAGACCACAAAAATAAATAAAAAAAAAACTAAAAGTTTTTCTTTGAGTAAGCATTTTTTTTTCTTGTTCTCTAACATAGAAAACACAAATCTTGTGGCATTTCACAGCAACACTAGTTTAATAGTTGACTAACAACACATTTACTTTATGTGAATCTAACAAACATTTGCTTACTGTGACACAGAACAATGCTTACTAATATGATTCATTAGAGTACTCGAATGGGTGAAACTCTTCTCACACTGAGGACAGCCGTACGGCTTCTCTCCAGTGTGAACTCGCTCGTGTGATTTCAGGTTTCCAGCCTGATTGAAACTCTTGTCACAATATGAGCATTTGTAAGGTTTTTCTCCAGTATGAATTTGTTGGTGCTGTTTCAGATATTTAGATGTAGTAAAGCTCTTCCCACAGTCAAAGCACACATGCTCTTTCACTTCATTGTGTGTTTTCTGGTGCTGTTTAAAACAGAACAGCTTTGAAAAACACTTTCCACAGAGAGAACACACATAAGGCTTCTCATCTGAATGAAGTTTCAGGTGTGATTTTAGATTTGATATTAAAATAAAACCTTTATCACACTGATCACATTTAAATGGCTTTTCTCCAGAGTGAATACGCAGATGATAATTGAGAGTGGATACAGAAGTGAAACTCTTCTCACACTGAGTACAGTAGTACGGCTTCTCTCCAGTGTGAACTCGCTCGTGTGATTTGAGGGGTCCAGACTGATTGAAACTCTTCTCACAATATGAGCACTTGTAAGGTTTTTCTCCAGTATGAATTATTTGGTGCTGTTTCAGTTCACCAGATCTAGTAAAGCTCTTCCCACAGTCAATGCACACATGCTCTTTCACTTCATTGTGTGTTTCCTGGTGCTGTTTTAAGTTGCCCAGCCTTGAAAAACTTTTTCCACAGAGAGAACACACATAAGGCTTCTCATCTGAATGAAGTTTCAGGTGCGATTTTAGATTTGATGATGAAATAAAACCTTGACCACACTGATCACAGTTAAATAATTTTTCTCCAGTGTGAATGTGCTGATGATAATTGAGAGTGGATGCTTGAGTAAAACTCTTTCCACACTGAGTGCATGTATACGGTTTCTCTCCAGTGTGAATTCTCATGTGTGTCTTAAGGTTTCCTTTTTGACTGAAACTCTTTCCACACTGAGTGCAGGTGTGTGCCTTTTTGGCTTTTGTTCTTTGAATTGTAAAATTATGATGTTCCTCCTCCACTTCATTCAGTTCTTGTCTTTGCTCTTTCACTCTCACCTGGTCTAAAATACACAGAAATACAGTTAGAATCAGTTCAAGTGTACCCTTATTTAATAGCAGAAAGAATCAGAGATCAGATCTTCCACTTGTTATTCTGTCATTTACTTGTTAACATTAGTTAAAATTTGTTTGACAACTGCTATAAATGATCATTTGCATGTATTTCTCATTTCTTATCCATCTACCAACGCAGATGAAGAATCAAGAATGAACACCAACCTATTTGTTCCTCAGTATCTTCATGTTTTATTCTGGATGGTTCTGGATCACTCATGTCTTCAGTCTCCTCGTTCATAAACTCCATCTTTAACAGTCACACAGATTTCAGCTGCTACTCCTGGAATTTGTCCTTCTCTTGTAGGATGATGGGAATATTCCCAGTAGTTATTGGTTAATTGTTGTAGGAGGGGCTTCACTGCAGGTGTGAACTATGATCAATCTGCAGGTGTGTTTTTATCCAATCTGCATTTAAAAGTACATGGCCATCATGTTAATATGAGCTGCTGAAAAAACTCTTTGTCTCCAAAAGTTCCCTGTTTTCAGTTCATTGATTATGGTGATGTCTGAGATCTTCTGTAAATTTGCACATTAACACATTGCACATTGAGTTATCAGTATAATCACCTTTCACTTCAGTTCTTGTCTTTGCTTTCACTTCCATTGGGTCTGAAAACATTAAAACATTAAGTTGTTAGAATGGAGGATAAATGTGAATTTTCAAGTGAACCCAGATTCAATAACAAGTGAGATCTGTCTATCAAATATTGTATTTTTGAAGTACCAAAGCTTAGTTTTGTCATTCTCTTGTTAATAGTCAAAATGTGAACAACAACTGTTGTACAAGATTATGATGAAGTGCATTATAGACCATTTCACAAGATGTAAACAACACTGGTCCAGAAGCACTTCCTGTTTCAGTTTTTTAACACTACATAAAAGCTGGGATAAAATACAACCAACAGAACATTTAAAACTGAATAAAAAAAGTTAAACAAACATCTTTAAGATGTTTTCTTTACATGTGAAATAAAGAAAATAGTTACAAACTGAAACAGGAAGTGCTTCTGGACCAGTGTTGTTTACATCTTGTGAAATGGTCTATATTTATAAGTGCATCATTTGCTTATTTTTCACAGCTCTTATGATTGGCATCAAACAATATATTTCGAACTAACTGAAAAAAACCGTGTTTTTTACGTTAAAAATGATGTTTTGTGTAAAAGGTAAGTATAGAATTACACAAGATAGGCTAAATGTTTTGTCTTTGAACTTTCATTATACAAATCAAATTACACACCAATAAAATTTAAATTTAAGTCGTAATGTAAATTAGTGATGTAGATGAGTGATGTAAATTACCACAACGCTTGTTTAGCAGATTAATGCTGCGTTCCAGGCAGGTTTTTGAGCACGTAAATCATGACTTCAAACCACGACTTACGACTTTGCAGCATTCCAGCCAGGTCATTCACGCCAAACTACCAAGATGTAAACAAACCAGCATGGCGGACCTTACGGGGTCACGCGCATTTGTAATAATTTCTAAGGCCAAAGGTGCTTACTCCTTGTTTATTTGTGGGAAACTGAGGAGGAAAAAATAGCGCATGAGGCAAGATAAGCTGTTATACCTTTTATTTTACTTTATTTGTATATTTGGAAATGTATTTGGTATTAATTTATCCTTGCACTGAAAACTAGTTGATTTATATTGTCCTAACGTGTATTCTCACTGTGTACCGCCTGCAGAAACACCCGTAGGGGCTGTCATACACTGTTTTCCTCATGGGGACCGCTGGCTGGACCCCACAATGTAGGTGATTTCAGGTTTTACTATACTTGTGGGGACATGGGTCCACACAATGTAATTTTAAACATGAACACACACACAGCATGTGGGTGCCATCTTTTGGACATCATATTGAATTGGTTTCCATTTCTTGTCCTCGAAGAGAGCTCTAATCTGTTTATTTTTCAGTTACGCATTCTACATTGATTAAAAAAGAAAAATCAAATGTGTTTTTATTTATATACAGAAATAAATTATTTTATAATTCAGCTGAGAATAAAGTTAGTGTTTGTTCAAATTTTAAGAAAAACAAATATATAGTGTGAAATATAGCTCATTAATTTTAAATTCATTCAGGTTCAATTACCAAAAATACAATCTCACTGTAATGTACTTTAAAGCCAACAATAAATTTACAGTTTTTGCCCGTTGCTTTAACACTATAGACCCATGCTTAGACTAAAGTAACACAACTTGAAGCTTTTGTTACCATACCTCAAACACATGTACCCATACCTTAAACAAAACCGCTGCTTTGCACTCTAGTTGCAATTCTGCAACACACCTACTCCTTTATGCAACACACTTGGTCCTGCATACTACACTCTATTTCATATAAGACACTTTGTTAAAAAATGAAATCTCAGGGTGCCATTTGGAAAACACATGTATCCAAAATACAAAACACATTGGGTTATTGACCATTAAGATGACATGTGGTTACTTCCATCTGTGCCATGCATATCAGTTTGGCAAACTAGTGCTTTGGGAACGGTCAAGCTCTGTATGAACCAGTGCATTTCAGCTGTAATTGAACTGGCTTTGAGGCAACATTATACTGAGAATGAGATTCATTTAAGCCATCATTCAGAATGAAATCAGATGTGTTTTATTTCAGACATGATGTTATGTTGACTAGTTATTTAAAATGTCACAGCAACATGTGGCTGTACTGAGGAGATCGGTCATCAGTTATTTCTTCTTGCCTGGTTTGGGAGCTTTATCGAGACCTTGTACATATTTCCGAGGGATCTGATAACGATCTGTAATAAAAGAGAAAAATTGCACTCACACAAGCCAAATAATGCAAGTACAGATATAAGCTGTTATATTACACTGTACTACACTGTACCTAGCAGCAGTTTGCCAACATGTTGGACCTGGTTTCCCTGGATCTGCACCAGGACTTTGTTTTTGGCCCCAGGGGAATCCAGGAGGACACAGCTGGCCTGAACCTGATGTTGCAGAGAGTCTGCTACCACAGCTGGGTCTAAACCAAACGCCTCCAGATTCTTAATTACTGTAACCTTAATAAATGGGAGAATGAATGACACAACTGTATTTGACATTAGACACAAAATACTGTCCGAGTTGTCCAAAAGCACGGACCTCGGTACTGAAATTGTCAGTACTCTGCGCCGCTGAGCGCAAAAGTAAACACCGATTGACCATTGTGTTCATGCACTCATCGCATAATAATGTCTGTGATTGGCTACAATGATCAACACACGGGAGCGTTTTATAGCACACGGAAGTGTTTAAAAGGTCCGATAGACACCTGCTTTCAAACGCTCCCATCTGTATCTGTGCAAGCGCTCAGTGAAGAGTGCCATTGATGTATATTTACAACATGTTTTTGAAGCACTGATCATTGTAGACAATCACAGACATATCTAATGAGTACAATGGGCAGTCAGGGGTGTTTTACGGTTTAATAAAAAGGGCTGTTTCCAGTAGCCACAAGATGTATTTTCACATTAAAAAAGTGTGACAGTCTCTTAAGTACAAAAAGTAGGACTGTCAATAGATTACATTTTCAAAATTGTGATTAATAGCGCCCTTTTCCAAGATTAATTGCACACTTATGACATGAAGCAGAAACCGTTTATCTTGTTTAACACATTCATTTTGTCATCATGCTATATCCAGCAAAGTAAACGACTGAAGTCTGATTCTCACAAAAATATATTTTTCTGTAGCTTTTTTTAAAGATATATTAAGGTGTCATTCCAAAAAAAGGACACTTGGAGACACCAAATGATACGTGGAGTCCATATATAATTCATAAAGTTATGCATGCACACTTGAAAGTGCCGTTTTGGACTGATTGTTTGAATAAATTAGCTTATTGGATCATTGGACTGAAAATGTCGCATAGTTTAGCAGCCTGAAATGATTTGATTGCAAAACAAAGAAGCAAAAGTGTTAGAATATAAATTTTCAACTATCAGGGTTATAGGTGCTTGTGCCATTGTGGATGTTCAGTGATAAACTCCCGACTTAAGACCATCTAACAGCGTGACGTAAATTACAATACTAAAACAATTTCACATGCTTGAGAAATGTATTTGCATAAAAATGATTTTAACACGTTAAGAAATTTAAACTAATCGCATACATTAGCGTTGAAAGTCCTCATAAAACGCCATTCAGATTTAACAAGATAAAACAACAGATACACTATCAAACACAAACAAACAAAAAAGAAGAAAGAAAATAAAATGAATACTTTGTTACTTCTAAAACTGCACATGTGGTTACACTGATAGGACACTTCGGAAAACTGACTTCAAATATCTAAAAACACCTCGAGTTGGTTGAACTGGCTGAGAAAAGTTAGTTCTGAAAAAAAACATGCCCAGAATTTGTTTGCAGATAATTTGAGATACAATATTATGTTGTGTAATAGATCATAAAAGCATCCAAATAGTTTTAGGGCCACTTTTTATAGCCAAGTTCTTATAATGGCTTCATACCTTCTTGTTGGAACCCCTGGAGGCTACAGTAATGTCTATGGACTCCATCTGTCCTTTCTTAACCACAGGAGGCTGACCTGGAAACAGCACCTCATGGCATGCCTGCATTCTTATGAGAGTCCTGCAGGATTCATATGGTCATTCATCGAAATTTGGCAATTCACATATTGCATTACAAAACGTTTTCAGCAGCCTTAAACTCACAGGAATGTTGTTTGCAAATCACCTTTCTGAATGTGCATGTTAGCACGCTGTACTGCTAATGTGGCTAAAGTTACCACTTTAGTTTTACGAAGTTATTTCTGACTGTATACACAGAAACCAGAGCTATTAAGTTTTATTTTTTACAGATGGTGAGCATTTTCGGGATAAAAAAACCCTCCCAACTACCATTAACATATGGTTTAGCAAGGAAGGAACTACAGGGATCAACATTAATGCTTATCCAGTACAAGTGTATTTTATGAAGGGCAAGTTTCCATCACTGGAACTTCCAGAACACACACAAGATGTATTGTCATATAGAAACAGCACTTCACAGCAAGTACACATCACATATCCATCATTTGAAATGTCCATGGTTAACTATTTATAGTGCCTGCCTGATGAAAAATTAAGCTTTAAAAACATGAATATTTCCATCATTATGTTGATAAGAAAATGAAAAGCATTTTTACCTGCTAAAGAGGTCATCCCATTTCAGTGTCTCCACTTCATGGTACTCCGACTTCTCCAGCAAACAGTCACAAAGTGTTGGGTTAATGTTAACATAACTGATGAACGAGAAGAGAGGAAGTCAATTTAATCCAAACCTTGTGAAATCTGCACTGGTACAGTACTTGAACCGTGCAGTAGTTTGCATAGTTCCATAGAGATTACTGTTCAAAGGTTTGGGGTGAGTAAGATCACACGTATTTTTTACACAGTATTTTTGATCAAATAAATGCAGCCTTGGTGAGCATAACTGTGCATTCACACCGTCGTCGCCGAGAGCATCAAAGTAAGTCACTGATTTCCAATGTCGAGCTCGGCGAGGGCAGCGCGTCTGGGACGATGTGGGTGTCGAGGAGAGTTGAAGTCAGCCCAACTTTATTGTAATTAGTAATGACGTGGTTGGGCGGCAACCAATCGGAATGTTTTCCCCGCAGAGAACGCAGTCC